CGCCGCTTAAAACATTATTTACTTTCCCTGCAGGTCTGCCGCACGGCCATATCCTGGTCATCGTCCGGCAGGAGGACCGCCCGCGGACTGCCGACGACGTAGACGCGGTGATCACGGCGGAACTGCCCGACCCAGCCAGGTCAGACCAGGCGCGCCGCCTGCACGAAATCGTGGTGAGTACCATGGTACACCGCCAGTGCGGCGCCGCCAACCCGACGGCCGCCTGCATGGACGGCGGCCGCTGCTCCAAGGGCTTCCCCAAGCCGTTCGCCAACGAGACAGAGTGGCGGGATGACCATCCGTACCCTGTCTACAGGCGGCGACCGGCGGCCGAGGGCGGCCAGGAGTTTGTGCGTGACGGGCGGCTCATCACCAACCAGTGGGTGGTACCCTTCTCTCCATACCTGTCCCTGAAATATGAGGCTCACGTGAACGTGGAGGTGTGCTGTTCGGTGCAGAGTGTCAAGTATCTTTTCAGGTACATCTACAAGGGCCCGGACCGCCAGATGGTGCGCGCTGACAACCTGATCGGCGGCGATGACGAGATCGCCGAGTACCAGGACATGCGCTCGATCGGCGCCAGTGAAGCCTGCTGGCGTCTGTTCGACATGCCGATGAGCCAGCGGCAGCCGAACGTGGTCGCCCTACAGGTGCACCTCGAGGATCACCAGCTGGTGTACTTCGAGCCGGGACAGGAGCGGCAGGCGGCTCAGGCCGCCCGACGCACCCATCTCACCGCCTGGCTGGAGTATAACCGGGAGTCGGCCGCCGCCGACCCGGACTGCCGCCGACTGCTCTACCCGGACTTCCCGTCGCGGTATACCTGGCAGGCCGGCCAGAAGGTGTGGCGCAAACGGCGCCAACAGCAGGCGGCAGAGGCAATCGGCCGCGTGGTGAGCCTCTCACCGCGTCACGGCGACGTGTTCTATCTCCGCGTGCTGCTGCACCACGTCGCGGGGGCGGCGTCCTTTGAGGAGCTGCGCACCGTGGACGGCGTGGTCTGTGCCACCTATCGTGAGGCGTGCTGCCTGCGCGGCCTTCTGCAGGACGACCGCGAGTGGGAGGTGACGATGGAGGACGCGGCGCACGCACAGATGCCGGCTCAAATCCGGCGCCTCTTCGTGACGCTGCTGCTCTTCTGCGCACCAGCCGATCCGTCAGAGCTGTTCCGGCGTCACCTGGACGCCATGTCTGATGACTTCGGCCGTCGTCATCGCGACCTGCCGGACGAGCTGCGCGCTGCACTAACACTGGTGGACCTGGAGCGGCAGCTACAGCAGGCCGGCAAAGAGCTCCGAGACTTCGGTCTGCCGGAGGTGACGCCCGATCAGCGGGCGCGGGCAGCTGAGCTGCAGCAGGCCGCCGAGCTGCGCCAGCTGCCGCGGCTCATTCAAGAGGAGCTGGAATATGACGCAGCAGCGCTCAGAGACCAGGTGGCCATCCAGCTGCCCACTCTGCTGCCGCCGCAGCGCCACGTCTTCGACCTGGTGATGACGGCCGTCGACGGGCGGCGTCCGCTGGCCGTGTTCGTGGACGCCGCTGGTGGCACCGGAAAGACGTACGTCTTCAACACGCTGCTGGCGGCGGTGCGCTCGCAGGGTATGGTAGCGCTCGCAGTGGCCTTCAGTGGAATTGCTGCCACTCTGCTGGACGGCGGGCGCACATACCACTCGCGTTTTAACCCGCGAGTTGCTGGGGGGGGGGGGCGTTAAACGCCCCCACTTTTTTTCGCCGGGTCATAGCATAAAAACGGCGCGCCGCAGGCGCGCCAAATTTTGGGTACCTGTAGGGAATTGATTGAAGTTTATTGTGACAAAGTTTCAAAAAAATCGGTCGGAAAATTTTTGAGATATCGAGGTTTTAGTGACGTCATGATTTCTGAGCTTTCGACCAAAAACGGCATATGTTCAAAAAATCATATAAAATCACAGAATAGACATATAGACATGCCGTAAACGCCATTAGACTGCCAATATCATGAAAAATCAAATGGCTATCTTCGATTATTGATTATCGTTCAGCATTTTCCATAATCTTGAACTGAATCTTGGCAATTTCTCGTGACTACTTTACGACCATGATACATGAATTTCTTAAATTGAACTTTTTTAGCCAAACACGTACACATATGATAAAATGAATGTCACCATCGTGTTCTACGCCCCAAATTACATATAAAACATGTGTCACAGGCTGCGAATATCAGTTTTTATTTTCGGGGATATGTGCCTGCCCGGTTGGCCTGACCTTGACCCTGACCTATGCTTGACTGACCCCTGCATGGAGCTGACACTCTTGTAGGCCCTATATAATGGATTGTGCACCGTTTTGACAGAGTTTATGACGAGAGGCGCCCATTGCGAAGTCCTGAAGTCCATGCTACTGAAAGCCCGATTTCAGGTGTTTGACCTGACCTTGACCTGACCTGTGACCTCAAAATTCAACTTTAAAGTACTCATCTGAAGCGTCTCGTCGCGTTCTTTCGTTTGCCGCCTCGTGCGTTTCGCTGCGCCTATTGGTTCTCGAGTTATCGGCTGGGGGCGTTTAACGCCCCCCCCCCCCAGCAAACGGTGGGTGGCGAAATACCCCAGCAACTGCCAGGTTAACCCGCGCCCCACTGGGGGGGCTATTTATAGCCCCCCCTCCCGTTTTTCTGCAATAACTTCCAAACCGCTTGACGTATCGACGCTAAACTTTCAGTACCTTCGGCTGCATCAATTTGACACCTTGTGTCAAAATTTGAACTTCGTACTTACCATAGGTCGGCCGGAAATGACGTCAGAGTGACGTCATGTTTGGCCGATTTCGACGCAAAACATTGAACCACGGCAATCGCTCCCAAGAGCTCAGTTTTTAAGCTAGATCCAATTTCTTTGCATGAGAGGACTCAGAATAGACTGCGCTATCAAACTGCTATCTCGGATTTTCGAAATTTTGAAAATTTCGAAAATTTGATATAATAAAATCCAAAATTTATATTTTTACATTTTTTTCAAAAAGTTTTCGACTTTTCGAAAAAACCGGAATATATGTGATAGAAAGCATGATTATGACTAACTCTAGCAAGTTTTAGCTAAATATCTTCAAAAATGGCCAAGTTTTACGCATTATTGCAAAAAATTCACAATTATTAATTTTTCAAATCAATTTTCAGCACGTATTTGACATCGTACGCCAATATAAATAGCACCATCGTGTTCCTGAGCTCAAACTGCATCCAATAGACACCTTTTTTGTTGAAACATTTTAACTTCAAAATTTGACCTTTTTTGACCTGAAAGTGACCTGACCTAAGCTAAATTCGACTCAAAATGACCTCGAATGACACAGACGACATCACATTCGAAATCTCTGGCCTAAATGGACCATAAAACATGTGTCACGTGACCGACGCATGATATAATATTTTCGTGACCTGTGATGACCTGACCTTGACCTGAAAATCAAAGTACAAGTTTGGTACCCTCGGGGTATCTAGAGCATCTGTTCACGAGTGTGTGATCCAAAAATGAGCCTGATCTGACTTGTAAGACGGCGGCCAGAGCCCAAAACGTGAACAAGCAAAATGCTAATAATTTTTACTTTGACCTGACCTGTGACGTCATCGGTGACCTCGAGGTCAATGAAATTAGGTTTCACTCGACAGTTTTTCCAGGGCTATCAGACGCCGTTTGAATTTTGACGATCGGCCCAGTAGTTTCGGAGTTAGGAGGGGGGGCTATGAATAGCCCCCCCCCCCAGTAGGGCGTGTTATACGCAGACCCCAGTGGGGCGCGGGTTAAGGCACCGCTGCAGGTGGACGCGACATCAACGTGCGCCATCAGCGCGCAGAGCCCGCTGGCGGAGCTCATCCGACGGACGGCGCTCATCGTGTGGGACGAGGCGCCTATGGCCCACCGTCACCACCTAGAGGCGTTCGATCGCACGCTGCGTGACGTCACTGGCAGCGAGGAGCCGTTCGGCGGAAAAGTCCTCGTGCTGGGCGGGGATTTCCGCCAAATTCTCCCAGTCATCAGGTAACTAACAACAACAGGCGTTCAGTGTGTATGAGAAAAAATGTACACAGATATTTTTGTATATACAAAAATATCTGTGGTACGTTTGCTATTATTAGTGTAATTGAATACAACTGATATAATGCTCTTCGGCGCAATCGCATTATTGCAGTTTAACACGTGAATTAAGTCGTAGCCATGAACATTCAACCGTTATGCCTTCAAAACGTATTCACTGATTTATATCGATGCCAGCGTCGTAAACACACTGCCGCAGCGGATTGATCGTAGACCGCATGTTTTGTGGTTTATTTAGCTTCGCCCTGGTGGGGGGGGGGGGCTTTTTGACCACACTCGCCAGTTTACACTCACACTCGCCCACACAGTGAGCCCAGTAAAGAAATCTGGGCTAAATTTGTTATGGCCGAAAATAAATTCACTGTGCATCGTATGAGTTATTTCTTACATCCGGTCACATAACGTCAACAGGTCTCCAGATTAAGATTAAGACGGGTCATCCAGCAGTTTTTTGCGATAACTTTAGGTAAACATGTTAGAACGATACAAACGCGTTAGTTAGATGGATTCAGTTAAACAATACAAATCGACAGTTATGACACATGACCTTTACCGGTAGGGTCACGACCTCGACCCTAGGTCAGATTTTGCAGTCGGACTTTTGAGGTGAGATTATACTTCATTCGACGCGTCTCAACGAGCGGAATGCGTCGCTGATAAAATCGACAGTACAACCTTGATGAGAAAGTTTCGCAGAAAAACGTTTCCCGAAAAAATGTTAATGCTTTAGTTTTTCCCCTGTGGCTTAGACCCCCACCAGGGCGCCGGCTAAACAGCCATTTCTGAGCATTAGTGGCCGTCTCGGCGCGTTTCTATATGCATATTGTTGTCCGTTTCAGGCACGGTACCCGCGCACAGGTGGTGGACGCCTGTCTGCGGCGGTCAGCGCTGTGGCGTCACTTCATTGTGGCGCCGCTGCTGGAGAGCATGCGGGCGCGGCGGGCAGCCGGGCCGGACGGTCCAGAGCTGCGGGCGTTCTGTGACTGGCTGCTCGAGCTGGGAGAGGGGCGCGCAGAGGGCCCCGAGGATGGGTTCGTTCAGCTGCCCCCGCACCTGGTGATGGATGCCGATATCGACGCTGTCATTGACTGGGTGTTTGATGACCTGGCAGGGCGACACGGTGACCGAGAGTGGATGGCGTCGCGGGCGGTGCTCGCGCCGCGGAACACTCGGGTCGACGAGCTGAACGCCGCAGTCACCGAGCGCTTCCCCGGAGAGGCCGTCCGCCTGCTGAGCGCCGACAGTCTGGTGGAGGAGGCCGAGCAGCTGGATATCCCACATGAGTATCTAAACACTCTGTGCGCTCCCGGCTTCCCACCTCACTGCTTGATGATAAAGCCAGGCATGCCACTCATGCTACTTCGTAATCTGTCCGCCACTGACGGACTGTGCAATGGCACGAGACTTATCGCTGGTCGTATCATCAGCCCGCGACTCATGGAGGCCACCATCGCCTGCGGCAAAAACGCCGGAAGGCAGGTGCTAATTCCACGGCTCCCACTCCAGCCCCCGGATGACGCGTTTCCCTTCCGCTGGGAACGTCGCCAGTTCCCCGTGCGGCCAGGTTTCGCCATGACGGTGAACAAAGCCCAGGGGCAGACGCTCGGTCGGGTCGCGGTCTTTCTGGAGGAGCCAGTGTTCAGCCACGGGCAGCTGTACGTGGCTGCATCGCGGGTCGGCTGGCCGGCGGATCTAAGGATCGCGCTGCCCAGAGGTGGCCAAGGCGCAACACCAAATGTGGTGTACACGGAGGTGATGGGCCGAGGTGATGCCCGGTAGATCCACGGGTCGCAGAGGCGACGGGTCGCAGAGGCGACGGGTAGCCAGAGCGCTACGAGCAACGTGAAGAGTAGGGAGAAAACGGCCGGCCGACCGTGATGCAGGACGGATCAATCATGGCGAGCCAATGCGCCGCCAAGTGGAAAATTTACACATTAACATAATGCCGCAACTGGCTTTGGTGACCTGCAATGCGCGAGCGCAACTTATATTTTGAGGATAAATCAATGTATTGAGTGGCATGTTATAAAACATGTTTGATATGCCCTGATGATATATTTGATTTTTGATGATATATTTGATATTTGAGAGCACATCTAACAATGGGCGTTTGCCCCCAGCTATACAATCGGCTGCGAGTAGCACACACCGAGTACTTCTCGGGGGGCCTTATTGCCGCTGCCCACGGCCGCCGTGTCTTCCCTCACCAGAGGTGTGCGCTCTGCACTCGGTGAGGGGTCTCGGGCGTTAAATAGAGACGCAACCCGATGTGGCAGCCTCCACGTGGCGGGTAGCGGGGTAAAAGCTAATAGCCACACAGAGCGACACGTAAGTATTTCACTGTTGTATTCACTAGATTTGATTGTGTTGCAGAAACATGTCATGTACTGTCACCTGCGCACTGCAGCTGCTGCTTCCACTTCTTATCACGACATGACTTAGTGTCAGCCCCGAGGAAGACAAGAGGACGCACGAGCGCTGCGCTTGATTCTCCGACAGCATCTTCTTAGCCGCGGTGGTGACTGATACAACCAGCGTCTTACGGGTAAGGCAAGAAATAAAGCATGGTTTGGTATGTGTTGAGTAGAACTTCTGGGTAGGGTAGGGTAGTGTAGCATATGGTAGGGTTGAGTGCATAAGGGGCCAGCATGCGAAAGACTCAAACAACCCGTAATCAGCACCATCATACCATACACTTTAAAGAATCAAATTTCACCTAACTCATACAAATAAAAATCAACCTCATACATCAAACTAATGGCACCATGAACAATAGCCATCGAAACGTACAGTTATCGCGTTCATCCATCCATCCATCCTGGGTAGGGTAGGGTATTGTAGTGTATGTTAAGTTTGAGTGCATAAGGGCCCAACATCCGAAAGACTCAAACAACCCGTTAATCAGCACCAGCATACCATACAGTTTAATTGAAACCAAGTGTCAAACTTCACCTGGCTCATACAAATAAATATAACCTCATACACCCAAACTAATGCCCCCTCAAACGCATCTATCCAAACGTACAGTTATCGCGCAAACATGGCCATCTAGTCTATATTAGTCTACATAGATATGTCCTAGTGGTAAATGTGCATACACACAATTCGGGTTCATACTTATGCATTTGAACATTATATAGGACCAGATATATCCAAAAAAGCAAAACCAATAAGACTTTTACTGGAGAACCGTACCTAGGTAGTTTGCATCCTAACTAGTTAGTTTGCAAAGTAACTAAACGGTCAGTTAGTTTGCAACGTAACTAGTTAGGTTGCAAACTACCTGGCCGGTCAGGTTGTTTGCAACGTAACTATAGTTCGTTTTTCTTAAGTTTGCCCCTCACTGTAAACGTCTTTTTGAACACAGCACGATAATTGCTAGCTGAATTACTGAGAAAACTGGTTGGCGCACATTGTATTGTAGATATGAATAATATTTTCAAAATTAAGCTTTGAACACCGACGATTTAACGTTATGTTAAGCGCCGTGCAATTTATTTATTAGTTCACACATAATTCCTGAGGAGTCGTCTATCCCTGTGGGGCTGTAGGTATTGGCAAATACGAGCTACGAGTCTGTGAAATAGTAAATAAATTTGATCAAATTGATCGTCTGTCAAATCTGGTCAAATCAATGTGCGCCAACCAGTTTTCTAAGTAATTCAGCTAGCAATTCTCGTGCTGTGTTCAAAAAGACGTTTACAGTGAGGGGCAAACTTAAGAAAAACGAACTATAGTTACATTAACTTTAACCTTTTTTATTGTGGATTGTAGTGGGGGTCAGTCAATGACTCATGAGCTCATTGACTACTTTCTCTTATGTTTATACCATAGGTACCTACATCCTCGCTCCCTTCTTGTCTTCTTTTTATTTCTCTTCCTTAGCTGGGAGTGCCGCGATATTGCTATTTCTTGTTTTTCTGGTGTTAACGTAAGGTACTGTGTGTCGCTGGGTTCGAGGGTGGGGGCACTCCTGGTCAGGCACGTATCCAGGATTTCGCTCAGGGAGGGGCGAAAGCCGAGAAGGGCCCGGAGGTCAGCTCAAAGGGGCCCCACGGCCATCCCACGGCGACTGCTTATCCTGGTGTAGAAAAAAAATCAAGAATGTCGAAAGAATGGTAATTTTACGATAAAATTCGGCATATTGTAAATGATTAGACATTGTCTTGCGTTAGTCGACCTTGATGAAATGTTTTCAGCTAATTTCAGTTGAAGATCGTTTTTGCAATTAACTTCCTTTGAAATTCGTTAACCCGCGCCGTGCTGGGGGAGCCTTTTCACGCCCCCCCCCCCCTCAGGTTTTTAGTGAATATGTCAAAATGGCGGCAGCACCGCCATTCTTTCTACACCTGTTTATCCTTTTTCCGCACATGTTGTGAAAAAGGTCGTTTAAGGTCAGGTCGTCAAGTGAGCTTACCTCAGAAAAAGTTCAAAAGGTTCACCGCTAAAAGCTAGCTATAGCTTTTAAAAAAAGCTAAAGCTTCACCGACTGAACGATCACTAGCCGCGTTTACATAGGGCTTGTCGCCAGATAGTGGAATTCCGATACCGAGACATTTATTCCACTAACGAGACATTTCAAGCAAATTCCGCTAGTTTTGAAGAACTATCCGGCCTTCTGGCCGGATAGGTCGTCAGAACTAGAGGAATGTGCCTGAAATGTCTCGTTAGTGGAATAAATGCATCGGTATCAGAATTCCACTATCTGGCAACTCGATAGGTGTTATCACAAGTGTATTCGCGGCCATTGCACAGTGTGACCAAACGCCAGATTAGCGCGAATTTAATCAAAAAACGAATTTTGGAATTTTGACTTTTTATACCTATCAGTCGATAGGAAATTGTCCAAAGTATGTCAATATCACAATACTTTGGTTCAATGTCTTCCTTTCGGTGTCTAAAAAGCTAGCTAAAGTGGACATACGCAATGCCGGTCCCGGCGGTGCTGAAATCGTCGAAAACCCGCGTCACGTTTACAACACATTTTGGCGTAATTGTCGGAGAGGTTTGGAAATAAATGGAGTGGCATATGACTACTGAGCCTATATTTGAGAGTATACCCGAATTCTGTAGGTATCCTTGGACTAACCGATTAGTTATACTCATTTTAAAATTACCTTTTCAGACATCCCCTGAAAACACTGTCCATCGTAAAAACGTAGAGATATAAGAAAATGGCCAAAAAACTCCACGCTAAATCTACCATGAGAAGATTTGCCACACTTTTCTGGACATGATCCATCCAAGAAACCCTGCCCCAACCTGCCCCCTGGCCTTTGGCTCAGCTTTAAACGTATCGGGTTGGCCCGCCCGGGGAGGTCCGGCTACAGGGTGGGCGCGGCGGCGGCTCCGTAACGTTACGCGGATGGCTCAACGGCTGTATTTCTGACTTGTTATATTGGAGAATACGGTTGCCAATGAATAAATCTTGGCAATTTTTTAACCCTCGCTCATATAGGGGGTGAGGGTGGGGGTCGAACGGACCCCTCTCGGTTTTTCGCAAAAAGCTCGCGTAAAAAGCGGCCGATGGAGACGAAACTTTCAGTACCCTCGAGTTGATCAATTCTACACCTACTCTTTAAATTTCACGACCCTGACCCCAATGACTTTTGACCTGTGACCTAATTCTCGAGACCATGTTTGGCCGGAATCGCGATTCGGCGTATGTTTGCTTGCATTAGCCGCGCGTTTGCAGTCTTTTCGTGGTTTCAAGCGTATGAACATGTGATATTATGATGTTGGTCCCATGCATTATGGTCGGTGTCAAGATCACTTGAACGTCAGGTCAGTTCAATGACCTTTGATGACCTCGGTTCACCTTTTTTAGTTTTACATACTTCCAGGCTAGTTTTTGGAGCTGATTTCGAATTTAGTAACCATTTGAACATTTAGGAAGAAGTTTTGGTGCCTTCGTAACATGCAACGAAGCTGTCAGTGGCGGTTAACACCTATTAATTATGAATACCCGTCAGGACGCCTACTGGTTGGCCTGACCTGACCTGACCCGACCTACGTTCGCGGCTAGCAACACACCAATACGGGCGAGGGTTAATGACATGAAGGTGCTTGCTAAAAAGAAACCGGACTGCTCGTGCTGACCATAAAGTAGGGGGCCCGAAAACTAGCGAGACACTGGACATTAATCTTTATCATATTGTCGTGATGTGTGCCATACGGCACCTCGATATCGCTATTATTCTCCTTTCCACAGCTCTTTGTTTTATTGATGACGCTGACGCTGGTCACTCCGGTCTGGATGTCCTCGACTGATTCAAAATGGGTTTCCTTGACGACGTTTTTCATTTCAGGGAACAGCCAAAATACACAGCGAGGGAGGTTTGGCAAAAAGGAGGGTGCTTGAGCACCGCGACCTGCTTTTCGGCAACGAACTGCTGGACGCTAATGGCAGAATGCACGGGAGCGTTGTCGTGATGGAGCACCCAGTTCTTGGCTTCCCAGAAACTCCACTTGGTGCGCCTGACTCGTGAAATGAGGCGTCCCAGGTCTTCCTTGTAGAAGTGGCTGGTCGACTGTGGTACACCTCCAGCACGAACTGGCGGTGAACGAATCCCCCATGATCGAAAAAGACGATCAATGTCATCTCCACTCTCGACTTCGACATGCGCGCGGACGTTGATGGACCTCCAGACCTTGGGGTCATCAGCGACATCTTCACGACCAGTGCTGAACCTCGTATGCCATTCAAACACTTGCATATTACACATGAGTTGCTCCCCATTAACAGCCTTGAACAGATTCAGCGTCTCTGTTGGACTTTT